TTATTATTTACATAATATATTTTAAAATAGATGGAGTGATAAATACTTAAGCTTGATTTTTTCTCCCTCTAATCTTGTAGACCTATTAATTGTCATATTTATTTGTTAAATAAAGGTAGTTTAAATTAATTGTGTATACATTTCATTTTTAAAAGACATAAAACACTCCTACTGTTTCAATTTTACTATAGTACATGAGATGAAATATAAATGACATTATGATTTTTAAGAGTAAGAATATAAAAATATTAATTAATTATTGTATTAAACATAGTTTTCTAATACTTATGAATTGATAAAATAGAAAAAATTAAATTGTAGCAAGATAGAGAGTATGATTTTCTTATTGTACGTCTGTAACAGCCCAATTGCATTGAAATATTTTTTTTTTTTGAACAAATTATAAAACAACGGCTCAAAACCCGTCCATAAGAAAGGGGAATGCACCTTAAGCTGATAAGCTACCAGTTGACCTAAAAAATCAAATGCAACTACATTGAACTAATTACTTATTATTGTACCTCAAATTGCAATAACTTAAACGGGTCAGTACTAATTTGTAATCATACAATATATAAGCGGGTGGAATATCAATAAATAAAAAGATATAACCTACCATTATACAATAATAATACAATCGTAGTCAATGTTTGCCACCCCGTGCTCCTTGGAAGGAAAAACAAGAAAATTAATAGTTAGCTCTTTTTGACAATCGATATATTGACTCAGGCAAAATGGGTTTAATTTTTTTAATTAAAATTTTGAGTTTGTTTTTAGCACAAGATTTAAATCTCACACATTTTACATGCATGAAAATATTTTTATCGAAATATAAGTAGCTACAAGTTACTAATGTTTTTTTAATTAAAATTTTGAGTTTAAATATTATAAATAAAAAAATAAATATAATTTTTTTTGTTATAATATCTAATTTTATATAATTTTATATTAATTAAGACATAATATAACATCTAAATATTGAGAATTTAATTAAAAATTTTACTCTCGTTGCAAAAAAGAAAAAAAAGAGAGAACATATATTATACTCAATTATGGTAACTTATTCAAAGAGTTAGCTAGGTCAATCTGAATTTTATTGTTGGCAGACATAATATAACATCTAAATATTGAGAATTTAATTAAAAATTTTACTCTCGTTGCAAAAAAAGAAAAAAAAGAGAGAACATATATTATACTCAATTATGGTAACTTATTCAAAGAGTTAGCTAGGTCAATCTGAATTCTATTGTTGGCAGATTCATTCACTTCATTCAGCTTTTTCTTCAGTCTTCTTTCATTTTAACTCAAAGAGTAAATGTATAAGTTGACCGTCCTTAGACTACTGTAACATATCACTACCACTTGTCTTGATTTCTTTTTACAGCATTAAATTTCTTTAATAAAGACTCCAGCATCATGTAGTAAGACCACACAACAAAAGTCTTGGCTACATTAAATTGGCTAAA